TTGGACAATGCCCAGAGGCCAATCTCGTGATCAGCTGAAGTCATCAGAACATTACGGAAGCTGGACTGCATACACACATTAAGTCAGGAGACAAAGCAAAGACATTCACCCCACACGTGAAGGCTTGCTGGGGACAGAAGCACGAATGCAGCCTGAACTGAGTCCATGCAGGGCGAGAGAGGGGGCTGAGCACTCTGGTACCTTTGTTCTGCACTAGCATCCTGGCTGTCATGCTGCAGCAGATGGTAGCTGTGTCGATGATAGGAAGAGCTCTTGTGCTTTTCTTCAACCTCATCCCTTGGGCTAGAGGAAAAAAAAAAAAAAGAAAATACCATCACGAAAGTCTCTTTCAGCTTGGGTATTTGCTCACTCCACTTCTCATGGCAGATCCTGATAGAAGGTCTAAAACAAACACACGAACACCCCACCCCTATCTGCACAGATTCAGAGAGCGGCAAGTGTTGTTTAGAGGTACTAAACACTTAAATTCCTCCATGCATTTTTCTGGAGGCCTTAAGAAGGGAGAAGCAGCTCAGCTATGCTTCAGGCACTAATCAAGGACAATCTCCCAACAGACACCCATGCAAGACAGGTAAGCCACTACTCAAAATGGGCAGTACTAGCATCATCTTGGGTTTGTTTTTGCATAAGGAATACTGATCACTGGGGCAAAAATCACCAGTGCTTCTCAGTTCTTCCAAGTGTCTGAGGAGTACACAGAGGGAAGTGTACCAATTTGATGGGTCAGCTCTACCAGACAGAACTGAATTGCAAGTGAATCCAGTCTGAGTTTCATAAAGGTTCTGAAAGCAAATTACACATGCTCCTAAACCATAAATTAGGTCTCTTTGAATTCTGCGCGCAGGAAGATCTTGAAACAGAAGTAAGCACTTGTAACTTTCGTGTAGGTTGATGGCTTGACTGAGATGGAATGTCAAAAAAAAAAAATGTATATTGATGTGCAAGTGAAATATCTCAGATCCAGAAATATCTGATGTAATACTCTGATATGAGAAGTCCTGAAGAATTCAAAGACAGAATGGGATTGAGGGGAGTTGCAAACTCCTATAAAAGTATTTTCTCAACTTCAAATTGTGAGTAAAAGCAAAAACACTGCGTAGAGAAACAGCCTCAGTGCCCTCCCCAGAGCCTTCAGAATTGAGGCCGTTTCCTGAAGCAGCATCCTCAGGTGTGAAGGCACAAGGTGAGGCCTTTCTCTTCCAATTCTGATGGGAGGGAACAGCCCTGCATCGTTTGAGGGACAACACCGACACTCTCAGCCTGCTAGTGCTGTTGAAAAGGAAGGTGTTTGCAGGCTCTCATGGTGCATGCAGCCCTGGCCTAGGCAGACTCTGGAGTTGCCAGATGCATCTCGCTGTTCCCGTCCCCTACAAGGCAGGGACACTAATTCTGTGACGAATCCTAGCACTGCTCCAGTGTAATAGTTTTCTCCTGGTAAGCAAGCGTATGTGATGTTGCCCATTCTGCATGCCTGCTCCAGAGAGACATTGCCATTTATTTTCTGACTTTTAAAGTACTTTATTTATAATGCTAGCTGCACAGAGCCAATCCTAGAAGAAAGACTAGAAGAAAGATACACAATTAACCTATAATCAAACCTGTCAGTTATGTGCTAATTGATTCAACAAAAACATGCAGGAAGAATTCAGCTTTTACTGGTTTTATTTCCAGAGTACAAAAAAAAAAATCCCATCTCAAGTCTCCATTCCCAGGTGAACATGAAGGCCAATAAAGTAGACTTTTCACTTTCTTAACAGAGATCCTTTATGCTGCAAGGGGTATTAGAGAGCACAAATTGTTAGAGCTGGTGTTCTAGGACACAGCACAGTTCAGGACACAGCATACACAGACCAAGCACACAGGAAGGTTGAATCATCAGATCCTTCAAGGAAAGGAGGGATGGAGAACTGCTCTGGTTTAATCACAACATAAGAGCTTTTCGCCAAGCTAGCAATTTGGCAAGTGCAAAGAAATTGCCCTAAGCAAGGGCAAGACAAACCCAAGTGATTACCTGTCTGCCATGCTGTTCCTGGTTTCTCTGGTTATGTCAGGAGCTGCTGGCCATGGCTGACTCACAACACTGTCAGAAGATGCATTTTCCTGAGTTAAAGCAGTCTCCAGTAATGATGGAGCATTCAGTCTGTCCACCTCCACTGGAGGCATGTCCAAAGAGTGGTGGCTGTGCTCTGAATTGTGCCGGTTCCTCGGAGACAGCAAATGCAAGGCTGAGGCAGCGGATGCCATACTGTCTGCGTGATGACTGGGCTCCAGCACCTCCGCAGGGAGCCCAGACGGAGCTGCCGCAAAGCTGCGTTGCAAGGTCTCAGAAGCAATCTCTGGGATATCTTGGGACATGGCTGTGGAAGCAGAGGAAATGACGTCTGGCGAGCGCTCGCGGGTTGGAGAAGCCTGGGGCACCACCAAGGGCTCCACCTCCTGCAGTTCCAGTGCTAGAGAGGGGTTTCCTGGTGCGACCTGAACACAAAAATCAAACAAGAGTCTTCAGGGTAATGTGGAGACACCCCAAGAACCCCTGGTACCTTACACCAACCAGCCAGCTGTATCCTTTCCTCATGTGATCCCTGAGCTCCCACTCTGTTCAGCAGAAGAAGGGCCCCAAGACTTGTAATGGACTCTCAGCTGGGCTAACAACACAATGCTAGTTTGAACACACTTCCAAAAGAAAATGTAATGCCAGTTCTACCTCCCTGCTCTGCTCCAGGATCCCTTCTCTTTGAGGAGAAAAGTTAGTTTTAACACTGAATATCTCCTGGACTGAAAACTTTTTTCAATTTCAAGCTTTGGTCATAATCTGTTTTACATCACACCTGGAAAGAAAAATTTAGGAAATGATTGTTTCAGACCCATCAGACCAACAAGGAGGAATAAACCTTTCCAGGTAGCAGAGTCTCCTAACACAAAGGCTGACCATGTCCAGCCATTGCGATAGTGACAGCACAAGCTAGAGCTGTCTCTAGTTTTCCGACACAAGGTCAAGTTCCATTAACACAGGGAAACCTGGCTGCAGATCTGTGCCAGCAGCTGTGTTTTCCAAAGGGCAGATGCTGGCCCTGCTAATATCCAAATAACTCTAATTTCAGCTTGTATAGGCCTAAAGAGAGGGGTCTCTTGCTCACGAGGAGAAGGAAGGGAGCAGCATTTGGAGCCTTACTGGAACAGGTGCCTTTGGTGTTAGCTTGTCAGGAAGGCCTGGGATAAGAACTGAATGGCTCCTAGGACTAGTCTGGAGACTGCTGCTACTGCTACTCAGCGTGAGGCTGGTGTCCAGCTGCATCTTGGGGCTCACAGTCAAGTCTTCTGATGGCCTGCAGAAAACAGAGACATGAATAAATCAAGCAAGCCAACCTGATGATACAGATCTGCATCAAACACACAATGTGAGGAGATGGAATCCATAGGTCAATGGAGGAGCCCATCCCAAACTTCACTAGTGTCCTCCAAGCCCTTGCCCTTTCCACCGTGGTCAGCTACTCCCTGTCAACTAGCACCTGCATCTCCTTGTCCCCATAAAGCCCAAAGAGATACCAGGTGGAAACAAAAAAGAAAAAAACAGAGTTTAGAGAGAAACAGGACACTACGGGACAGGTCTTTGTCCTTTTCTCAGCCCCCAGAAGCGAAGTTTTCGCCTGCAGCCCAACCCACCACGACACTAGTAAGATTTTCCTAACAGTCCCAATTATCTACCTGTCCTTGGTGGCTGCAGTGTTCTCTTACCTGTAAACAACGACAGCCCTTTGGGAGAAGCATGTAAAGCAACAAAACTGAGATGCAATAAGAGAATCCCTATGAGGCACAAATGAAACACTATTGTTGGCCCCTTGGATGACAACAGGCATGCGCCAAGCTTCATCAGAGATGCAAACAGTTGCCCATATAGGGACGTTGGGACTCAGGCCAGTTTCTAACTCTGGTTACAATCTCCTCTCCTACAAGATACACTACAGCTCTGTACCACCATATCAGTTCAGCTGCAGATATATTATTTAATACATGCGCTATTTACCTGGGCATAGAGGCATCTGTGACAGAAGTGCTGCTCATGGCTGTGACTGCAGTCAGGGAACTGACGCTGCTGCCTGGAGATACAGCAATCTGTAAGAAAATACACAGCGGTCAGGATGTGACAGAAGAGTCCAACAGCAGAACTTAACCTGAAAATGCTGGCCCCAAAAGAACTCCTAAAGAGTCTCTGATGAAGAAGGAATACAAAAAAAAAAAAAGAAAAACGTTGAGTTGTACCGCTAGGGTGCTCAGGTGCTGGTCGAAGGCAAGCCCCAATACATCCTCATCACATGAACCACGATTCCTTTTATTGAGCAATTGCTCTCCCAAAACAAAATGGCATTCTGCAGGGCTCCGCACCAGACCCCCATTTTGTTCTTTGAGCTAGACTGCTCTTGTCAAGGTCTGTTGCCACTAGTGAGGCCAGAGTCTGTATGGGGTTTAGGTCCTGCACTGCTCATACATGGAAGTAGAATGCTCCAATGCACAAGAAGATGTATTGCTCACTGGCTAGCAGTAAAGAGCACAGTGGGGTATGCTGGCCCCCACTGCTGCTTCTGGCTACCAAGAAACACCTACAGAGAACACCAACATAAGCACACAAGTATCCCTGGAAGTGTTCAAGGTCAGGTTGGACAAGGCTTTGAGCAACCTGATCTAGTGAAAGATGTCCTTGCACAGGGCAGGGGGTTGGACTGGATGATCTTTGAAGGTCCCTTCCAACCCAAACCATCCTATGATTCTAAGTACTCAGCTGGGAAAGTCGGTGTGGCCAAGCTTCTTATGCTTGACAGTGCTTATGGCAAAGATTGAGATAAACTCAAGGCTGTGTCCATCCTACAGTGTTCCTGGGTGCTGATGCCAGCAGGAAAAAGCCTGCCATGAAATAGGCAGCAGTGAAAAGCCGGATTTAAACTGAACATTTACACTGTTTAAACTGAAGAGTGAGCTGCTCCTTGCAGTGAACAGTATGTGCAACCATCACCCCATCAACAACAACTCTCTGCTCCCTTGGGACTTCAACCACCCCAATATCTGTTGGAGGGACAACAAGGCAGGGCATAATAAATCTGGAAGGTTCCTGGAATGTGTCGATGATAACTTCCTCCTCCAAGTGGTAGAGAAGCCAACAAGGAGAGGTGCTATGCTGGATCTTGTCTCACCAACAAGGAGAGGCTGGTGGAGAATGTGAAGCTCAAGGGCAGCCTTGGCTGCAGTGACCATGAAACGGTGGAGTTCAAGATCCTTAGGGCACCGAGGAGGGCGCACAGCAAGCTCACTACCCTGGGCTTCAGGAGAGCAGACCTTGGCCTCTTCAGGGATCTGCTTGGTAGAGTGCCATGGGACAAAGCCTTGAAGGGAAGAGAGGCCCAAGAAAGATGGTTAATATTCAAGGATCACCTCCTCCAAGCTCAGGAGCGATGCATCCCAACAAAGAGGAAATCAGGCAAAAACGCCAGGAGGCCTGCATGGGTGAACAAGGAGCTCCTGGATACACTCAGAAACAAAAAGGAAGCCTACAGGGGGTGGAAGCAAGGACAAGGTAGCTTGGGAGGAATGCAGAGAAATTGTCTGAGCAGCCAGAGATCAGGTTAGGAAAGCTAAAGCCCTGACAGAATTAAATCTGGCCAGGGACATCAAGGGCAACAAGAAAAACTTCTATAGGTATGTCGGGGATAAAAGGAAGACTAGGGAAAATGTGGGCCCTCTCCGGAACAAAATGGGAGACGTGGTAACCTGGGATATGGAGAAGGAGGAGGTACTCAAGGACTTTTTTGCATCAGTCTTCACCGGCAAGTGCTCGAGCCTCACCACCCAAGCTGCAGAAGGCAAAGGTGGGGACTGGAAGAATGAAGAGCCGCCCACTGCAGGAGAAGATCAGGTTGGAGACCATCTAAGGAACCTGAAGGTGCACAAGTCCATGGGACCCGATGAGATCCATTGGTGGGTCCTGAAGGAACTGGCAGATGAAATTGCTAAGCCAC